TATATGTCCAGTTGAAATTTTATTTTGGAAGCCCATTGGGAGTTGTAATTTGTTTTGGACTCGATTTTTTGGTATCCAACTCATCAACAACTCTACAAAGAGGGTTTGGACATCCCCTATATGTTCCCTATAAATATTAGGTTCTTCTCTATAATTTTATGGTGTCAGAAAATAGATTATTATAATTATAGGATCTATTGTAATTTTTCTCTTCTCTATTATTTTTCAGTCAATAAAATCTCTTAATTCATTTGACATATTCTTATCTTTATTATTCTTTTACTTGATCATATATTTCATTATTATTTGCCATATAACTTCAATATCTCAATTTAGTGGTTTGTTTCACAACAATTGATATCGGAGCTATTTTGCTATCTTATTGTTTTATAACAATTGGTATCAGAGCTATTCTGATATCTTGTTTGTTTCACAACGGTTGGTAAACAATGTAAAATGTTTTGCCAATGGTGGCCCACAACTTTAGCATTGGTGATGCTAAAATTCTCTAATACCTTCTTTATATAGTTACTCTGAGATAATCATAACCTCCCAAATTTTCTATCCCTACGAATTTCCATCCCAAGAATTTTCTTCACAACACCTAAATCTTTCGTGTAAAATTCTCTAGTCAACAAGTTTTTCATCAACTTGTTAACATCAACCATATTCTTGGCAGCAATCAACATATCATCCATATACAATAACAAGAAATTAAATGAGCTCCCAAAATACAAAAATACGAGTCACCTAATCAACCAAAAGTTATAGAAGTATTATCTTATTGCAGATGGCTTTCCAGATAGTGTTGGTTCCTAAGCATATGAGGTTGAGCACAATTCAATTACCACTATCATTGGAGTATATTTATTGATACTCGTGACTTTAGGTGCAACTACCACCATTTATTGTAGAAATCTTTTATGCATTCAGTTTTTATAAAGGATGAGCCGCATCCTTGACGGCCCCCACCTGCCCTAGCATGGGCCTTAGTGAAGGAGGTAAATCGCAGGTTATGCTTCCAAAGGTAAAGGGTGGAAGGCTGCTTGTACACTTACACTTACTCAAGAGCCAAATCCATATTTCAGGATTCGAACCTTGACGCGACAGCCTCAAACAAAGCTGGAGTTTTTCACCTTCCCCTTTTACCACTTACAGATGTGCCCTGGGGGCCATTCAGTTTTTATAATACACATGCCATGTTGTCTTTAGCACTGAAGATAAAAAAATCATTTTTCAACTGTGGAAGCTCTTTTATGTTTTCTTACTCATAAATTGTTACTGAACATATTTAGCTAGCTTTTTGAAAAGTGTGAATATTACTCTTATCTTGGACATAAAACATGAGATTTTAGAGTAATTTTAGGAATGAGGTAGTTAATTTTTTGTGTTTATTGATTATTTAGGAGAAAACTCGGTATTGGACTAGAATGGATGAAAATGACCAATAATTGATAAAAGAGAAAAAAAAAAAAAGCATTAAAGTTAGACATATACTGGAAGTTGGAGAGCAAATAGACACGTTTGGAAGTTGAAGGACTTAAATTTCATATTTAAGGACTCAATATGAACAAGAAAGAGGAAACAAGAACCTAATCGCACTAAGTAAAAGTTTAATTCCAGCAGTTTTGAAATATCCTAAGTCGACTAAAATTCTAGTTCCCTACCAGCTTTGAACGCTATTTTAAACCTAAATTGAGGTCCAGAAGCACTAATCTTTCATTAAAATAAAGGAGAATCCGAAAAGGACACATTCTTGATGTAAACTACAAAGATTCATTACGGCAACGTTTGGACGTGTGTTGCAAATCGAGGTGTTGTTATAGAGTAGAGAGATACGGCAATATTTTTTGAACGTTGCCGAACACAACATTTGCCAAATGTTGCCGTATCTCTACGGTAACGTTATTTAAACGTTGCCGAAAGTCTACGACAACGTTTAAAAAACGTTACCGTAGAGATACAACAACGTTTGGCAAATGTTGCGAAAGACAACCTACGGCAACGTTTGGCAAACGTTGCCGTAGATAGATACGGCAAC